GAACTGATCCATCGCGCAGGGGCATCAGAAAGTGAGCACATGGCTCTACTCGCCTCCTTGCCGTGTCCACTCCCGTTCCTGTGCGTGCTTGCACGGGCGCGCCTCTACCGGACACACTACACCGTCCCGTCCTGCCCCCGCGTCCATGCTCTGGCGCTGCACGATGGTTTCTCCCCTCATGCTGCTTCCCCTCTCCTTGTTTTTCTGCTACCGCACGCCACCGGTGCTCCCCGCTCCCTGCTCTCTTCCTGCCTCGCGTGAGCACCCGCCCTGACTACGCCTTCGTCGCTCGGCCATCACGCGCGCGCGCGTCCTCGGTCCCGCGCTGGACCGCAGCTATCTGCGCACCCATTCCATCGTCTGTAGCCATGCCGCCACCGTCCCTGCTGCTGATGCCGCCACAAGGCTCGAGCTCGGCCAACGCTGTTCCACCACGCTGCCTCTACGCGCTCGGATGCCAGCACCATTTACCTCCGCCTCGCTCCCTGCAGTGCCCCATGCGCGCTCGCCTCATGCCCGCATCGCCTAGAGCCACCCGGCCAGCGCCGCTGCATGCTGTGGTCGCTGTGCCGCGTCTACCGCCGTCCGCGCCGGTACAGCTTCGCCGTCGTGGCCATTTGCCTCGATCCGCGTGTAGCTCCGCCTCGCCTCCTCTCCTACGCATGTAGCACCAGCGTCCCCTCCTCTTCCTCCCCGAGCCACGTTCCCGTCCAACTGCGCCCGCGGCACGCTGCTCCATGGCTCTCCCCCTCCAATCACGCCATGGCTGCACCTGCCACCATGCGCGCTGCGCGCCCGAGCCGTGTGGACCCACGCGTACTCTACCTCCATACCAGGCCATCAAGCCCTGCCGTGGTTCGCGCCCCTTCTGCGCTCCTTCCCTGGCCCCGCTGTACCCCGCAGCGCCGTTGCCACTGTAGCCACCGTGCCTGCCACCATGGCTCGCGCGGCGGGCTGCTGGGGGCCGGCTCGGGTCTTGCTGCGGCTAGCCCAAGGCCGCACGGGTCTCCGTGCAGCTCGCCGGTGGGTTGTCCGCCCCCGCCGTGCCTTCCTCGGTCCCACAGCGCCGTTGCCGCCGCCGCCGGTCGATGTCTTCGCCCCATGCTCTGCTTTTGGGGAGAGAGAGCAGGTGAGAAAATCGAATTAGAGAATGTTTCAGGGTTCTCGATGCAAAGTCAGTGACTCATATGAACAGTAGCGTACCAAATAGGTAGAAGCCTAAGGATGTTTTTGCAAAATGGTCACGATGCCCTAGGCTTGCCCAGCTGGGCCGGCTTGCGACGCCTGCGCCTAGGCCGCGCGTCCGCGTGGGCTAACGGCCTCCACTGGGCCGTCCGCGCCGCCTGCCCGCGCCTGGGCCGCATGTGCGCCCCGCCCGTCTGGGCTAGACTGGTGCCGCCTGCGCTGTGCACCGAGCTGCCCACGCCGATACCGTGGGGCTGTTGGGCCAGTTTAGTGCCGCCGGCCCTTTTTCATTGTTGAGGTATTTTCTAATTTAATGTTGAAGCAAACTTGTAAAATCAGTAGCAATTTGTGTAGTGGTCTAAAAATTATGAAATCAATTTTGTTAGGGTCATAAAATCATTATGAAATCAATTTTGTTAGGGTCATAAAATCAGGATCTACCTATTAGTGTAATTTATCCACATAGTTGCATAAGATTTTTAGGAGTTCCTTGATTATTTTAAAATGCTTAATATTAAGAATAAATTTGTGAGAATTATTGTGAGAAATTGATGATAGTATTGACTCTGAAAATTTTATAGTAAACTACTAATATTATTCGCTGCTCACTGTAATTTTTGTGGCTCTAGAATAATTAGCATGCTAGATAGATAATGATGCCCTATTTTGAATAAAGATTAAATTGATAGAATAGAATAAAGAAATAACTTGGGTTTATATAACTAAAATAATTGTTGGGAAATAACGTCTTATTCGACAGCATGAATATGTAGCCTAAGTACGGTCGTCGTTAGAACTAGCTCGTTAACTTGAAAGGCGTAAATCGTATTTTACGAGTCATGGTTGCAGTTGATTAATTACGTCTTTGCATTGCATCGCATTGCATATCATAATAGGAACGTCGATGTATCGCGGAGTCATCGGGAGTTGCTGGAGAAATGGTGCTTTTGGAGATCATGTCGCCATGATAGAAAGCTAACTTTTATTATATTTTACCCAGGCAAGCCTCGGTGTATAACCCCTATTTTCTGCACTTAAAATTATATTGTGCATTAAGTTTTAAGGAGTTGATTGAAACCCACTTGCATATATAAATATCTTTATCCTATGAGTCTTACTAGTATGATAGGATCGTGTAGATTACTATGCTACAGGACTCCGGTAGAAGTCGAGTGATTGCCTGTCACTCATGAGAGATAGGAAATGTATTACTGTAAATATAAAATGGTGGAAAGAAAAATGGTGACCGGACAAGGATATGGTTTGGGTATTAGTGGGTGTAAGAGGTTGTGTCCTGCGGCCAACGGGACATAGCTTGGTTACACTGTTTTTCCCTGTCTGTGTCTGTTAAGGACCGGTCGTTGCATAAGACTCTAGGCAAGTCACATGCTTATTATCCCGAGCACATACTTGAGTATGGGTGCTTGGAAGACTTGTTACTCTCTTATTATGGGTTCCGGCTCTTTCCAGACCGACTGTCAGGGTGGTTTATAGGTTAGGAGGTCCTTGCACCGTACTGAGTCTGGGACTCAGGTGCAGGGGCTTGGAGTACTAGTTTGGACGGGGACTTAGACCCCGTGATAGGAGGGTAGTGGGTTGGTTCTGCTTGTGTCTAGGGTACAAGCGGGGCGTATGTTTTTGGGGTACCCAGCTGGGGGTATTGATTCGCGAATCACCGGGCAATCCGGTACGGCTTGTTTTGGGGTCTATCATCGTAGTAAAAACTGAAAGGTGAAAGTTAGAAAAAGAAAATATGATTGCTTACCATCTACTTGAAAGTAGCACATGTGCTTACATAGAATGGTTAGTTAATGAACTAATGCACTGCTAATAAAAATCGAATATAAGGACGCACTTTTAGTAATGCTCCTGCAGATGCAATAAACCCATAAGCCAGAAAGGCTTGCATATCCTTGGAGTCTTTTCTTTTCTCCTGTCGGGTAAGTCTTGCTGAGTACAATTGAGTACTCAGGGTTTTATTTTCCCCTGTTGCAGGTGACAGGTGGAGGCTAGAGCTGACCTTTGTGTGTGGATTCCTCCTGATGGGCTCAGAGATGATTTCTTTTACGCTGCGATCATAGTTTTTATTTATAACTCTCACAAAATATTTTATTAAATGGAAGTTTTATAATCTGTTGTCATAGTTTATATATCAATATTTCATCACGTCATAAATAGATGTTTAATTCCGCTGTCACTATGTTCACATGTTTATATTCCGTTGTTCAATTAAATTGTTCATAACTCAGATAATATGTTTACATTCCGCTGTTATAACAATAAATATTATACTCTGATGTTGTATTAAAAAGGATGTAAGAAATGGTTAAGAATGATGTAAGCTTTATTCTCTCATTTGTGATCCTGATGGAAAAATGTAGATTTTCGGGTTCTCTTTTGGGGTGTGCCCGACAGGACTGCGCAATTTGGTGTGCTCCTTTGAGTACTTAGTGCCTAATGGAAGACGAGCACTCCTGGAAGTCACTAGATTAGACGGTTTTGCCACTCATTGTGAGGGGTTCTTGACATTTTTCCCGGCGGAGAGCCAAAAGGTACTCTAGTGGATTGCTCGTGGTTTGTGTGATCCTCATCTTGTGTTGGTTTTACGGCACCCAATTGAGGGTTTGGTGTGTGATGCCAATTAGCGCGTGAACCTCTAAGTGAGTGAATCGTTACAACGAGGACTATTTTGCCAGCAAGCAAGTGAACCTCGGTAAAAAATCTTGTCACCTTGTCAAGGATTTTATTGGTTATCTTATGATTGATTGATTGGCTCCAACTTATAATTGGCTCGTACCTCGACATGTCGGTATAATCATCGCCATCCTCTCTTGTATTACATTCCTAGTGTGTAAGCTAAGCTCTTTAGTGTAATTAGGTTTGAGAGCTAGCTTGCGTCGGATCTAATGGTTGGTGACTCTTTAGTTAGTCTTTGAGAGCTCACTAACTTAGTATAGTGACATAGTCATTGTGTAGATAAAGACTAGCAATTAGAATTATGGTAGGTGGCTTGCTTTTTTAGTAGACTAACACAACATTCGCTTCGCTTCATATTTATCTAACCACTTTATTGAGTGTTGTAGAAATTTTTAATAGACTATTCAACTCTCCTCTAGCTATTAGAACCTTTCAGTTCCTCCGTGCGGGCATGGTGGTCAGCAAAACTGGTGCAGCCTCCCACATGAAGGACCAGAGGCGTTCGATATTTTGGAGCGGCTTGGGACATTCGGGTGCTAGTAACGCCCAAAAATACATAATGGAAGAAACTCCTCTGTTTCAATTATTTGCCGAGGAGCACAGATACAGTTATTTGCAGTCCCAAGCTCTTCCTGTTGTGCTTGTGCGTATGCCCTTTCTGATTAATCCTCAGGAGATACATCCTATTATACATAAAACAGTAATCTTATCTGCTGAATGTGCACTTCCTGTGACATCTAATTACTGTCTCTCCTGTTATGTCAGTTGACACTGGTATATCAACGGGCAAACTTTCTTTTCAATTTTCAATGGGACATTTCTCAGTCTGGGTATCATGCTAGCAATATCACCTTATAAAGGGATAACTTGTCCAAGGACTAAAGAAAGGCCAAAAATGTTTCACATCATCTAATTGAGGAAGTAGGCCTGGGGCTCGCCTGTGGCCTCTTGTTTCGGACCTTAGGTGGCAACCGTCTAGGCAAACCAGGACATGCCTCTAATGTCTACATATTACAGAAAATATAATCTACTGGAGGATTATATGTACATCTCAAAAGTAACTTTAAACTCCACTGGGTGCATCAAGGATTGTGCATGGGAAGCCAATCATGTCAGGCTCAAAGAACTCTCAGCTGAGTTAGAAAGGCGGAACACAAGTCCAGAAAGAGGAGCTGTGGTCCACTGACCCTTTGCAGGTCAAGAAGGTACTTCTCATCCCTCGTCTTGTAAAGCTGCAGTCAGTGTAAGTGTATTAGAATTGAGTGCATTTTCCAAGTAGACTTTATGCAACAAAAAGGGACATCTAGTATGAAATGAAAGTACAATTATGGAATATGTTAATTTGAATCACAAATATATTTGGTCCTAAGGGATTGTGAATATTGTAGCAATTCAGAAAAATAACCTGGCATGCAAATGTAATCCTGACAAAGTTAAGTTTGCTGCATAAACATAGCACATAAAGAAGTCAAGGTCATATGTTAAAGAGTTATGCAAAGTGTCGTTCATAGTCTGCACAGCGAATGTTGTAATCAAGACTATGTTACGTGATATATTTATTTAAGTGCGCATGATTAAGATTCCAAATGATACCTGAATCTCAAACTTCACTATAGGGGTTGATTTCGCCATGAGATCATCAGTTTCAATTATAGCAGACTCCGCACTAAAGCCATCACTGCTATGCATCATACTCTCCAGGCAGCCAGGACTCCATCTGCATTTCATGTTGTAGTGTCCAATCTTCTTCCAGTAAACATTCAGTTCTTGCAGAGCTATAAGCACTTCACTTATTATTTCTCGTGGATGTGCTCGAGACTGTTAGACAATTACAGATATATGAATCAGAATAATTCAGGAAAGACATAATAAGATTAAGATGTACTTAACATGAAAATTACCTGAAGACCAAGGGCCCATTTCCTTTCAGCTGCAAAATGCTGCCTCAAGCCAGACCCCGGAGATTCTGCAAACCCATGCTGCCGAAGTTCAGTTGCTGAAGTTGGTGTGTCAGCGATTACTTGAGAGAAAGATGAGTCCTAGAGATCACAATCACATAAAGCAAGACAGAAAATTAGCAAGAAATTTATAGCATCACAAGTACTGAACAGCTCACAATCAACATCTGGAAATACAAGAGAAAAGAAAAACCACACTCACCATAGATTCTTGAAACTCAGATCCAAGATAACCACTGGTTGTACGAAGCCTATTGTCCAAGAGTAAATAATAGGCAACTGTTGCCTGCACAGCCAAACTGTGTCATGATACCATAAAACAACCAAAGGAAACAGAAAGTAAAGCAGATACCTCATTCTGCAATCTGTTTTGCACAGATTCAATTAGCTGATTCTTGTCAAAACCCATCTTAATAACATCATTAAGAGTTTCCTCGTCGAGCTACAAAATTCAAAACAATGCCAAATCATTTGCTGAAGTAGAAAAGGCAGAATAAGGATTTTACAGAATAGCGTCATCGATAAAAGCAGAAGATTCTAAAAGTTTGAAGGAAACAAATACACGTCGTCAAGTTGATGCACACACAATATCATTATACCTTTTTAACTTGTTGAGCAGTATCTGGAGGCGGCACAGCCAAATAGCGTGGAAGTCGAATCTTGAACCACACATGTTCACGGATTTCACGTATTGTAATCCTTTTCATCGGATCAACAACTAGCATTCTGGGAATCAAGTCCCTGGCTGAAGGTGAAAAATGACTAGGAAGGGTATATATTCCACCCTACAATTAGATGTAAGAATTTACTGAGCATATTAAAATTAAATATAAAGGAATCCTTTTTTCAGGTAAATCAATGAGGCAATAGCTACCTTTATTTTCTTGAAAAGGTTTGGAATATTCTCGTCATCAAAAGGGAGAGTACCACAAAGAAGAGCATAAAGAATAACGCCACAGCTCCAGACATCAACTTCAGGACCAGCATATAGTTTACCAGATATGACCTAAGAAAATAAGGAAGAATCGTGTCATAGCAAGTTATATAGGTAAATGGGACCATGAAGAATGCTAATTGTAAATCTTGCTAGATGATACCTCAGGTGCTGCATAATTCGGGCTACCACAACTCGTCTTAAGAAAGTGACCATCACGCATAACATTACTTAAGCCAAAATCGGCAATCTTAACATTGCATTTTGAATCCAAAAGAAGATTCTCTGGCTTTAAATCACGGTGAACAACCATGTTCCTATGGCAATATTCAACACCAGATATGATCTGCATAAAAAGTCAATAAGAAGAAAACTATCGAACTAAGCTCAATGAACCAAATAAACACAATTAGTCAATTCTGATCACAGATATGACAGAAGCATAACAGTGAACAGATTTCAAATATTTATCAGCTCACAAAACAGCTTATGCCAGCCATACTACAGTTCGAACCAGGGATTACAATGCATTGTGCAATCTTTGGAATGAACATAGTAATATGCAAGAAAGCCACCTGCTGAAAAAAGCGCCGGGCTTCTTCTTCGTGTAGTCTTCCCTTCTCAACGATGTAATCAAACAACTCTCCAGATTTAACATACTCCATAACAACATAAATATCATCAGGTGTATCTATCACCTCATAAAGGCGTATGATATGAGGATGCATAAATAGTCTCAGTATCTTGATTTCTCTCTTCACTGCAGGTACATAATAAGAGAAAATTAAGCTTAGTACATCATCAGAAAAAAAAAAATCCAAGACATAACAAGGAGCTTGGCTGTGTGTCTATAATCTATACATCACGCGCCAAGCTTAAGAACCACAAACCAATGTTCTGTACACTGACCTTTCTCTTCCATTTCCATGCTTCTGATCTTTCGGCGATTGAGGATCTTGATTGCCACCTTATGGCCGGTCAATATATGTTCCGCGATCTTCACTTTACCGAACGACCCAATTCCCAGGGTTTTGCCAATTCGGTAACCGCTCAAAGGGTTGGCATCTCTTCCAGTCCCCTCCATCGTGTACCTGAATCACAACCAAAGCATATCATACTAGTTTGAGGGCAAAAGAAAAAAAGAGAGCTAAAACCATGTGCAGTCGTGAGTATGAAAATCTTCTATGCACTGATACCATTCGAAGGTTGGACCTAGACGACAGAAACACGTAATACCGATTCAGGCTCAGCAAAGACACAGCACGCCTCTCTTTTTTTTCCCACAACGGTAGAACCGAATTTCATTACTTCAGCAACGAAATTACAAGGTTCGACAGTTTCAAAACACCAGCAAACTAACAATAAACCCCGCCACCATGTTCCTGATCACAGAGGGATCAGCCAACATGTGGCCAAAACAGCACGCCTCAATTTACTCCGCGGAGAGGCGGGGGAGCCGAACCAGAATCCCGTTGCCAAATCCTCAAACTATGTTTCAGAAACTATGCGCACCCGATTAGCCTTGGCCTGTAGAAAACGAAGCTGAAGAGCCCCAACCCCAAATCCCCAACCCCTGCACAGGCACGGCACGCCGCACACCCGAACCGCTAGCGCGCCATCCCACGACGCGAGGCCCCCGGATCTGGCGGAGCTAGCCGGGCCACGAAATCCCTCTACGCTAGCAACGGGACACGAGTCACAGAACCCAGCTTCTTCACGGCTCAAACACCCAGCCAGACGCGCAGGCTCGGAGGACAAAGAGACAGGCAGAAGCAGGCGCAGAGAGGTGAGGAGATTGGGGGCGTACCTCGCCGCAGGGGAGACGCGGGGAGCTGGGTCCCGCCCGCCGGAGCAGGCGGCAGCGGAGGCGGAGGCGCAGCTCGCGGCGGATGCGAGGTCGCGGGGAGCTCGGGAGAGAAGCCCAGAGGAGAGGCGGAATGCGCCTGACACACGAGTGACGCGAGAGAGAGAAGGTGGGGGAGAGAAAAGCGAGGCTCACATGGGACCTACCGCAGTGGCGGGCCTCGAGGGCGTCGTGTGATCGTGTCCGCTCGCGGCGCGCGAAGATTCGTGCGCGCGCGGGCTTTGCTGGGCGTGGGGGACCGGGCGAGCGATCCGACACGTCGACTCCGGGCCCGGACGGACGGGAGGCCGGGAGGGGGACGGTTTGGCGTTTTCGGCGTTTCGGTGGGCGCGTCGGATTGGCCGTGCCCGCGGCAATAATTTGGCAGGTGGATCTCTCGCGGTGTCCTGTAGTACTAGTGTCCCATGCCTACGTGAGACTGTCTCCGTCCACCACGACATAAAATACAAGAATTTTTTTTAGCGCTACAGATAAAAAATTTAATATCTATTTTTATTTTCTCCAACAATAAGATCTAAAAGACAACCATTTTCTGTAAATGGATCTACAGAAGAGAGGATACTCAGATTTAGATTATATCTCTCCCGATATTTAAAATGATTCTTTTGTATAGGTATTTTACTGTAGGTCAGAGGTATTGTATTGAAAATCTATTTTGGGTTTAGGTTGCGTAACGGGTCTCCCGGTGACATGACAGGCTGACGCGCGCTCAGGCCGGGCTCACCTTCCTTCACCTGATGCATCAGCATCACTTCTGCCTCGCGACTTCGCGTCACAACGACACGACGCTCTCTACTCCTGCTGGTCGGTTGGTAGTACAGTATGGGCAAACAACGGCGGGATGGACCGATGGAGGGCCTGTGTTGTGTAGGATGAACATTGTAACGGTGACAGGCTGACCCGGATGTTTGGACAGATGCCCGCGCCCGCTAGGCCTGCTCATCTGCCTAGTTGTCTATCGCTCGGCCGTGCCTGCTCGTGCCGCTCGTCTGGCCGTCTACTCGCCCGGTCGCTGCTCGCGTCTGCTCGCCCGCTGCCCTGCTTGCTCGCCCGCCTTGCTGGTCTGCTCAATCGGCCGCTGCTCGCCTGGCCGTCTGCTCGCCCGACCGCCTGCGATTTTTTTTTATTTCTAACACTTTTTTTAAACTATTTTAAAATTTAACACCGTATTTTTTAATTTTCAAATCTAACACTTTTGGCCGCGCATACTACCACGGTTCAGTGAAACAACGCTGCCGCGCCATGCATAGCGGCGCGGCAGCACCGGTGACGTGGCGACGATCCGGGCGCGGACCGGTGATGTGGCAGACTCTGCCGCGCCGTAGATCTGGGCGCGGCACTGCCGCGCCATCGCGCACGGCGCGGTAGGGCCGAATACAGGCCCGTAGACAGACCTCCCTACCCTCACTCTCTCTCTCACTCCAGTCGAATCGGATCGAGGGGGAGACGCGCCCGCCGCCGGCGTACTGCCGCCCGCGGCTAGCCGCCGCCGCGCCTCCCCGCGACCACCCGCCCCCGCGCCTCCCTCTCTCCCCATTCCCTCCTCTCTCTCTCTCTCAGTGTCTCCCCACCGCTCCAGGGAGCCGTGCTCGGCGTCGGCGCGGCGGCCCCTTCCCCACCGCCGGTCAGACTCTCTCCCCCATCTTCTCCTTCACCTGCGCCCCCTGTCCCTCCCCTGGCCGGCCGGTGATGTGCCGCACCCCTCTCCCTTTCTCTCCCGCTCCCAGAAGAAATCCACCGGTGGCGCCCATTGCCGCCGGCGACCACCTCGTCGACATTGGTGGATTTGGTTAAGCCCCAATCTCCTTCTCGTTTTCAAAGTACTCCCGTTGTCTATTTGTTGATTGAATCGAAACTGTTGTTACTTAGGGTTAAGATGCAAAATTAGTTTTAATGAGAAATGATTTCTATAATTAGTTGGGGTCCCAATCAGATGAGATTATTTAGGTTGTCCAACAGGTTTTAGTAGTATAGGTAGTATAGTAAGTTAGTATAGTTAGTAAAGTTAGTTAGTTAGTTTAGTTAGTTAGTGTAGTTAGTATAAATAGTTATTGTAGTTAGTCTTGTATAGGTGTTAATATTGGATTAGTTAGTATATTTATAGTTAGTATAGGTATTGATATTACTGTAGATAGTACGTACGACGATTTGGACGACTTGATAAAGTTTCCTCAAATATTTTTATAGATGGATTGTTGTGTCCGAGTTTTTTACGGAGGAAGTGTTAGGAAAGAAGATGGTATGTTTGAGGATATGGAAGAAGAATTGGAATGGTTTGATGAACCTCCTAGCTTCAACGACATTTATGTCCGTTTGAATGCAAAGTTTGATGATGATTTCACAGTAAAGGGGAGGTTTGATAGTAGGAAGACTAGGGCACACTATGTCCTGATGCCCCGCGACCCTGATCACTAGTCCCGCAACAATAGGGTGATCCAAGGTTTCAATGTGTCCAAGGCTGAGGTGGTGGTGGAGAATGGGTATAGGATGCAGGGTCTCCAGGACGGGCCGTCCATTGACGGTGTTGCAGGCAATGAACAAGAATTTAGGGTCGAAGGGAAAGCAACTCAGGGTAACATAGATTTGGACGGTCAGTTGACGTAGGAGCAGTTTCATTCAACTCCAGTAGGCTGTATAAGCAATGATTTCGATGTGAACGAGTTCAAACGAGAAGAAGAGGAGCAGGAGGAGGAGGACAGGATCGGTGATGTAGTTAGCAGTGATTCAGACTGATTCAGATGATGACCAAGGAGGTAGAGATGCTATGCCAACACCGGTTGATGCCATGCCAGTACCGGTTCATGTTATGCCATTACTAGTACCAACTAAGGTACTTCTTGCTATGCCGACTCAGGGTAGACTAGTCATAGATTTACCAGAGGATGATACCCCATATGATTCATGGGGTAGAATTAGCGAAGCACAACAGTTTGTTCCACCACCACCTTACATAGCGACAGAGCTTATGCAGCTGAGGTCGATGAACGTACCTTTCAGTGGCGTTCCGAACTATAGGGATGTCAGCATGACGGATATGGCAGTTTGTGACACTGGTCTGCAGATGTGTAGGAAATCATTGTATGACCATAAGAATGAAATCCTTAGCAAGGGAATGATATTCAATACAATGTCATAGATGAAACTGTTCCTTTAGGACTATGCTATATATCACCACAGACCGTACAACGTCACTCATTTGGACAAGGAGTTGAGGTACCATGTGATATGCAAAAATAGTTGTATGTGGAGGTTAAATACATGAAAGAGACAGAGTGATGGCAAGTGGAGGATAAGTAAAGTGGTCGAACCCCACACTTGCCTATCAAATAAGGGGAAGGAAAATCATCAGCAGCTTACTGCACGTTACCTTGCCCGTCGTATATTGGGGCTCGTTGATGACAAAAACGATATTTTGGTGTCTTCCTTACAAGAGTCCATATCCGAGCGATTCGGTGGGGTAGCTGGGAGAAAGCGTACAATAGGGTTCCCCAAATATTATGTGCAATGCATTACTATAACCCTATCTTGAAATGGTTTATAGACACCGGAGGGATGTATTTCGAGAATCCATTGAGGCATGTCCTGCATCGTGTGTTCTGGTCGTTCACGCAGACGAAACATACATTCCAGCATTGTCGGCCAGTCATACTTGTTGATGGTACTTTCCTGACCGAAAAGTATAGGGGCACCTTGATGATGGTTGTTGTTGTTGATCCGAAGGACCAGATAGTACCCATGGCTTTTGCTTTGGTAGAGGGAGAGAACAATGAATCATGGTCATGGTTCATGTGGCTTCTACGTGTACAAGCACTTGACTCATCTCGCACTATATGTTTGATCTCGAACCATCATCTAGGGATTCTTAATGCTGCAGGTGAACATATAGATGGGTTCCCGCCTCTAGTGCACAGATGGTGCATGCGACATTTTGTCACTAATTTCTGGTGGCATCAGAGGAAGCAGGAGGTTTGTGACAAGGTAAAGGCTCTATGTTGTGTACATACAGAGCACCAGTTCAAGGAGACAAAGAGAGAACTAGACAAGATGCTAAACGAAGCGGGCAAGACCTGGTTAAAGGCGCAGATGGAATAGAAGGCTAAGTGGGCGTTAGCATATTGTCAGATATCATAAAAAGGAGTACCCTAAGCAAGAACCGAAAAAAATTGCTTAGACCTTGTAAATAACGAAACCAAAATACAACCGCAGGCAAACCCGCCACATTCGAAGCCCGGCTGCATCGACTGGCCAACCTCGAACAACATCTAGGCATGACCGAAGCAGGCTCGGCCTAGAACCGTACCACGAGGCCTCGGACGAGGTACCGATTCTCCGACTCACCCGAGGCCCCGCACCACGAGGCCTAGGATGAGCCACCGATTCTCCGACTCGCCCGAGGCCCCGCGCCACGAGGCCTCAGATGAGCCACCGATTCTCCGACTCGCCCGAGGCCCCGCGCTACGAGGCCTCGGACGAGCACCCAGTTACCGACTCGCTCGGGGACGGCTCGGCATCAGCCCGTCACCGCTGCTTTGACCGACTTCTCTGATGGGACATCACATCCAACTAAAGTGTTCAACCACTCCCACGACGTCAGCCGCACGACGGCACGGTACAGCAGAGTGGCCAACGAGACGGAAGTCACATCAACGCCCTACCATCCAGGACAGGACGGGGCGGGGGTTACCGGCCGCTGTGCCCAGCACTGTGCCCATGGCTGACGCCCGTGCTACGTTGTGCCGCCTAACCCCTGCTCCAAGGACAGCGCGGCGTGGAAAGTTATGCCCGGGTCCCTGTAGCCTCGGAATTGGTGTACAAGGCCAACTGCTCTCTCCGAGCCTCGGCCAACCGCATGCGCCCACCGAGCCTCCCACAATGGTTCAGCCTCTGCACCGACTGGGCCTCGGCTCCCTCCGTCGACGACGCACTGGGACCGGCACGTCACCCGCAGTACACGCCATGCCCTGCGTCGGGCTGCAGGAGCTCCCACGTCGTGCACAGGGCCTAGCTCCAGTAGCCTCGGAATCAGCATACCCACACCATGGCATTAACCCGGTCTCGGCACTCCGCGTTGGTCAAACATACAGTGACCAGCACGCCTCCAACAGAAGAAGGCGCGCCTGCCACCACAGGAGCTCCCACGTCGCACAGGATCAGGTGTGACCGGTGCGTCGCTCCAGTGCACGGAGGACAAGACCACTCCACCAACCGCGCCGCCATAGTGACAAGCTACATGGCTCAGACATGCCGCCACTGCCGAAGAACGCCACGTAGCAAATATATGTACCACCCCTGTGCCTCCCCTCGACTATAAAAGGGAGTGACCAGGGCCACTTCTAGGCAAGGGGAAACCAGGGCAAGCCACGCACAACACTCTGTAACACGCACACTCCTTCACTGCAAGAGATCAACATCTCAAGCAACACACACTACAATTCATAGAGACCTGGGGCTAGCTCCCTCTCTTGCCCAGCTTGTAAGCCCCTACTACAAGCACCTCGGTGCAAGGAATACAAGATCGTTCCCTCAGACTGGACGTAGGGCACCTATTGCCTGAACCAGTATAAACATTGTGTCTCTTTGCATCACCATCCGGGATTAGGAATACGCAGTACACTTTCACTAGTCGGTTGAGGACCCCCCGGTCCAAAACACTGACACATATGACAAGGGCGGTTTCAGGTACGGCATCATGACCACTAACTCATCAGAGTCTTTCACCCGTGTATTAACCAGAGTTCAATCATTGCCT